AAACTGCCCTTTGCAAAAGGGAACTGTCCAGAAATGTTTGTGTGTCATGCCCCCCCACCCCTGTCCCCATGCCCCCCTCCCCATGCTATTTATAGGCAGAGAATGGCAAAGGAAAACCACCAAGCGATTTCTAAGGAGTCACAGTCATTTTCCCCCTGGGGCCAAAGCAGGCCCATGAGCACCCTTGCCAGCTCTCCACAGCAGGTGGTATGTATTGGCTGTGAAATAACTTGGCAAGGTTTGTTTAGGCTGAGATGTTGGGAGAACCTCTGCTTCCAGTCTGGTAAGCAAAAGTAAGCAAAGCAAATGAATAAAGGAAAATGGGGATGAGCCTGGTAGGCTCTGGAAATGTCACTTGTGCCCCTGTGCTTTTTCCAGAGGGGGGCGCTGAGCTGCTGCAGAGCCAGAGGCTGATTTGGCTAGAAGCAGACCCACAAGTGCAGGAAGGAATCACCTTCTCCTTGCCAACGGCAGCAAGTGGGACCCTGTGAGTCTGTGTTCCAACATCAACCTGTAGACTGGTCTTGTCAAAACTTGTAGTCAGGAAAAAAACTGAGTCAAGGGGACTGGGATAGAAACAACCTGTTTGTGAATTAAAAGGGTTTTCTTTCTCCCTTGCTTGCCCGCTCTCTTCCCAGCCTATCCCTGGAAAAGCCAGCCAGCAAAGAAACAAGCCAAACCGGCTCCCCCCATCCCCCAAACTGAATGCTGATTCATCATGATCAACACCAGCAAGTGTCACTGGGATGCTGAACATGAAATACTTAGCCTTTGATTTGACAGTTACTTCTGTGTTGCTTCTGTGTAGTTACCCAAGTTAATCTGAAACCAAGCAGAAGACAAGGTAGAGACGCACCTTATAAGTTAAACTGATCTCCAAACATTCATTATTATTATCATCATCATCACCCAAGCCCCCCTCAGATCTGGACATTTCTTCCTCTTGGGAATTTCCAGTAAGATTTCCCACAGGCATAAAGCCCCTGCATATACTTCCCTCCAAGCTCCCTGCTGTGTTCTTCTGAATTCTTACCCCGATGTTGAGCTACAAGGCCAAACACTTGGAGGAGGCAGATAAGCTGTGAATCTGAGTGCCTGCACAGGCAGAAGGGCTGGGGTTCTGTTTCACATCCCTCCCCCCTCCCTGCTTTTCCTGTTCCAGGCCGGGGTCTGGGCTTCCAGGGGACCTCTACGCTTTCCACGGGATGAAATAAGATGCTGCTTTGGGAGCTCTGATTAAGCACTGGGACTCCACAACGCCTTGTCCCTGTCAAGAGGAAAAGGTCACATCCTAACTGCCTGGCTGGAGCCTCATGCGTCAGCTCTACAGAGGGTGGTGTTCCGGGGCCGGGGGCATCTCAGCCTGGCAGCTGCGTCTGGAAGATCAGAAGCACCCCTCCTTGTGGGCCAGGGTGTCCACAGTGAGTCATGGTGCAGTGGGGAAAGGGTGAGAGGTGAGAGGCTGGACACTGAACTATTAAACTTGCTTTTCAAGCCACAAGGTCGCAAGGGAGCTGGAAACATGCCAGGCCAGTAAGCTTCCTGGGAATAAACTACATGAAGCTCCATTACAAACTATGGGCTGGGTCATCCAAAGGCATTTTAAGCAAAACTTCCCATTGAATGCGACAATGGAGGCTGCTTGAAAAGGGACCAGACCCTATGGCCGAATTACAGCAAAACAGGAATTAATCTTAAATAATTCAGTGTGTCGCCATCGCTGCTTCTATCCCAGGATCCCAAAGCACTAGAGCTCCCTGTTCCTCCTGAAGTATGGTTCTGCCTTTCTGTGTATTGTAAACATTGACTGTGTCAGTCTGAAGGTATATGGAGGTATACAGGTGCATATTTACCATGCCTTCTGTATGTTATGGCACATCCACTCCTGCTAATCATTGTAGTTACTGTTTTATCAGCAGAATGTGTAGCAGCCTCAGTGTAGCTCCAGGTGTTGAGTTTGGGATTCAGGAGACCTGGGTTTTATTCCTAGCTGTGCTACTGAGCTTTTAGGAGGATCACTTCATCACTCTGTGCCTCAGTTTCTCTATGGGCTCTGACAGAAGTGCAGCTCTCACATAAAGTGCCATGAGTTACAGGGATCACCACACCTCTGTCCATCCCCTCCCTCCCCACCACCCAAAAGATGTTTAGTGTTGGGTTGGAGGGGTGGGTAGGGAATCAAGCTCCACTGTGAAGCCAGTCCAAGAGGAGCTGCCTGTCTGCAGCCTCTCTCCCCTATCCCTTCCCAACTCCAGTGCTGTCTGCAATATGGGAAGGGGAAGAAGGAAAGGGAGGGAGCTCTGGGCTGGGTTTTGCCCAGCCTGTACTGGAGGAGGGTGGGTGGATTGGATCCCTCTGCCTTGGGGTGGGGGGGCTCCAATCCACCCATCCCACCCCTCAGTGCAGGCTGAGTAAATCTCCCCTCCCATCCTGCAGACAGCACTGGGCAACCCCGCCCCAATCAGACAGAAGTCAATGAAGGCACTCTTCATTACATGAGGATTAATTTATCATGCAGTCGGGTACTTCTAAAGGACTGTGCAGCCATGCACTTCTGTCGGGGCCTGGCTGTAGAGTGCTTTCAAGGGGTCAATCATGTGACAAATGTCACTTCTGTCAGCGCCCTATGTGTACAAAAGGGATGATGATGGTGCCCTCCTTTTGAAGAGATTTAATATGCCTGGATGAAAAGCACTACATAAAAGCTAGAGAGAAGATCCACAAACATATTTAGCTATCTAACTCCTATTTGGGTGCCTAACACCCATTCAAGCAGTGTAGGAGATAAGGGGCCTAAATACTTTTGTGGAGCTTGCCTTCATTGTCACTGTGCTGTATATAAATTCTAAGGCTAAATAGTATGAAAAAGACTGTCAGGTCAGCATCTTGCATGCACATTGTGGGCCCACAGCAAGCTCAATTTCTGCTCTAATGCACAGGGTACATCTTCCCAATGGTCTTGACCTTTCCCATACTTTATAAGCTAGCCAGCACTGCAGGCAGTAGCATCACAGTGACAACACTGAAACTGTGGGGCCTCACACATAGATCTCAAAGGATTTCAAAGCCAT